TTTTTTCTTTTTTTTTGTGGGGTGCCGACGACCCCCGACCGGTAGGTGCCGGCAGTCGCCCAATCAAGGGCCGCCAACCGTTGGCGTATGCAACGCTGACGATGTCAAAAAATCATAAGAGTTGAATTATCAAATTTTCGTGGAAAGTGAATCTACTTTCACAGACATGAACTATCTCGCAGACCAATTATTTCAAATTAACAATTAAAAAAATCCAAAATCGACCAATAGAAAAACCGACTAACAACAGATTAACTGTAAAACACCCAAATTCAATTAAATAAAATTAATGGCTTAATTGCTTCTACAACCCTGAACCAATTTCCCTGCAAAAGAAAAACGCAAAAACGTTACGTAAACAAAACGCCCCTCTAGTACTTTTTCCCTCCAATGGGAAAAAGTACTAGCCCTCCTCTAGCATGCATCCTATGCGCTTACAATGAATCTATTTTTCTGTCTAACCTGGGGGTAGATAGGAAATTGATAAAGGGCACACGCCTAATGGACGGTATCCATATTTGTTTGGAATAACGGGAAGGAAGGAAATCGAAAAGCAATTGATATCATCAATCGTTTTCAATCTGCATACGATAAGGCGCTGACACTAGAACGAACGGATGAAGGGAACAACGAATGGGAATTTCTGGGAACGAGGATTGGAGTCGAATCAGGGAACAAAGTAACGACCCAGTTAGTCCAAAGGAATTTCAGAGAAGTTTGGGAAAAGGGAGAACTCACCTTTAGAACGATCCAGGACTTCAGCTCCTATTCACCTGTCCCACAGAAAAAGGCTGTCGTCACATGCTGCCTCCACAGGATTTACACAATGACATCGGATGTGGGACTCGTAGGTCTGGGACTACTCACCTTGAAAYGACTCCTGAKATTGCAGGACTACCCTGGTAAATATTTCRAAGATTGCCTGGGTAAATTTATCCGTAAACGAGCGCCGTCATGGAAGAAATGGGGAAATCAATACTGCGGCTGGTAAGGTAACAGACAAGAAAAGAAAAAGGGAAAAGGGATTTTTTCTTCCCTTTCCTTTTTTCTTCTCTGTGTCTGCAACGAGATTTTCAAAGATTTTGGAAACACTAAGAACGTGTATCGTTTTACCGCTTCATTTATTTTTTCGCTGACAAAAACAAAGTTACGAGGTTACGCAGCAGTTAAACTGGCGGGAAGGAATACTGAACCCGGCAGGGGAACTGTGAATACAAACGTTTTCTCTGAGGATAAGACAGATAACCTAGGAGTATTAAAAAAAATTCGATTCCTTCGATATTGCTGCAGATTTACACGGGCCTTTTTTGATAAATCCAAAAGTAGCGCCGACAGACACTTGGCTCGGCAGGTTAGAATCTCAGAGCTGGGAAAATCTCGAGATACTACTGAAGATTTACATAGGCCTCTTGATAAATCCAAAGCGGCGGCGATAGGCTGAGTATATATTTTTTGTCTTTTTGTCCTTTTTTTTTTTCTGTCCCTTCTGCTTCTGCTTTTTCATACGAGGCCAGAGGTATTACTGATCTACGAGATCACTGGGAAAAGGTGGAGCTCCTAGGCGGTAAAAAATTTCCACACGGGGAAGGTTCCTCCTCAGTAGAGGGACTGGAGTAGGATGGAACTTCCGCGAGGACTGCACGCGGTGCAATTTTTCCATGCAGTGTTTGCTTCTTGAGTAGATCAGCAAGTATTTATTAGCACTCTAGGATTCACACTCGACTCGGAGTTGCACTTTCCCTCCTGATGAGGCCGGATTCTGGCTCCGGCTGAAACCGGTAGAGGGCTGCCAGACTCGAGCTCCCWTAGCCCCGTAGGCTATGGCTGCTCTACTCTTGGTTCGACTTGACTATCTTCCAAAGAGTTTTTTCCGAGTTTCAATTCCGAGTTTTTCACATACTTGGTATGTTGCCATTCTGCAGTGTGCCTGTGTGATGCGTACGGCTGACTTCTTTTTTCTTTGACGTGGGCTTCTCGCTTTCCTTTCCAATTCCAATTCCAAAACGCCACAACATCTCTCCTCTATTTGCCACGCTGAAATTCCCGGTGACCTCTCTGATCCATCCTACACACATTTCGGGCCTGATTGCTAGCTTCTTCCCCTGAACATAACGCACCCTTAAAATGAATGTACACGAGTTATATTTCCGGCCAGATACAGCCAAAATGAGGGTGCGTTGTGTTCGGGGGAAGACTGTAGCTTCTTCCCCTGAAGACATCGTACAGTCATTACATCTGTATTTAGACTGAAAGATACCCCAAATGCAGCTATACTGACCATACGTTGTATTTGGGGGAAGAAGGTAGAAGCCTAATGGTTCACAGCACCAAGCAAGGTACCATGTGATCCAACATCCAACCTTTTTTTTTTTTTTTTTTTTTTTTTTTAATCCAACTTCCTCCTGCTGAACATGAGTTTTCACTTTCGCAAAAACCCACTCACTCTGCAGATTTGAGATGGGCAAAATAACTCTGCAGAATTGCGAGTGGGGAGAATAACAAGGGAGGCTGCCGCATTTTGTGGAGTTTTCACGTCCACAAAAACCCACTCTGCAGCATTGAGATGGGGCGAATAACAAGGGAGTCGGAAATGGACGTGACCCATGCTACCAGCACTGCCGACGCTGGTAAGGGCATCATTTACAGTGAGTGTATCATTAACAAAGTGAGGCGAGATGGGGAGAATAACAAGTGAGTGCATCATTTCTCTGCAACATTGAGATGGGAAGAACAACAAGGGAGGCGGAAATTGACGCGAGACCGGCACTACGGACACTGCTGAGGGCATCATTTACAGTTTCACCCCTATCGAAAGGAACGGTAACCATCAGCGCATAGGGAGGACACAAAAATCCACCAGGAGTTTTTCATTGGGACCTGGCACTTCTATGACACAGGAAATGAAGAACTGAAAACGGAAAGAGAACGAGGGAGGAGGCTAAAGAGAAGGGGGGGGGGGGGGGGGGGGGGGGGGAGAGAGAGAGAGAGAACGACGGAAAGAGAAAGAGGGAAGAAAGAGAGAAACAAATATTCGGAAGGAGAGAGAGAGAGAGAGGAGCGAACGAAGAAGAAGCCAGAGGCTGAGGAAGGACACAGACACAGAGAGAGAGAGAGAGAGAGAGAGAGAACGAGCGAACAAAGAGAGAGAGAGAAACCAACGAGGAGAGAGAGAGAGAGAGAGAGAGAAGAAAGAGGTAGAGAAAGAAGTATTGTGAAAGAGAGAAAAGAGGGCGGAGAAATCCAGGGCTTTGATCTCATCCACCTAGCACACGCCCCACTGGACAAACTACAAAAGAGTGGAACTTGCCACGTCGGCCAGCAGCCGGTATGCTGCTCGCAGCTCTGATAAATGGCTGGAGGGAGGGAGGGAGGGAGGGAGGGACTAACTAACAATCAATGCCTTGAGGCGACACGATGTGCGTACAGATGCTATAATTGAAAGCTAAGTGGTGAGGTCCCGATCCGGACGGAGGATACCGACCGTTCATAATGGATCGCCACTCCCGATGGAGCTATCTTTCAATCGAGACCGTTCATATGGGATGGCGTGACTAAACACATCATAACACTACCGCCTTCCCCCGAGTAGAACGCAGTGATTATCGCTGTCTAGATTGAAAGTTGGCCCAGCCGAAGCGGATTGATGATTTGCAAGATGAAGAAAAATTGATCTGGACTGAAAGTTGCAGCGGATTCCTCTCTCATTTGTCGCAACCAGTTTCAGTTGGATGACAGCGATTATGACGACGAAGATGACATCTCCTCCGCCGAAGATGATGAAGATTTTGCAAGATGACGACAACATTAATCAACTTTTCGCGACCATCTTTGCGAGCACTGTGCTCTACCAACAACATCAACAAGACAAAGATGACAATGGGAGATCTGAGGAGCGCTCTCTCTCTCTCTCTCTCTCTCTCTCTCTCTCTCTCTCTCTCTCTCTCTCTCTCTCTCTCTCTCTCTTTTTTTCTTTTTTTTTTTCCATTTGCACATCCGGAAGATGACAGTGATGAGGAAGGAGCTGATATATATATTGTCACACTTGAAATCGGAGCGCAAAGGCGGAAAAAGACAAAACAAGAAAAAGAAAAAGAAGGAAGGAAAGCCCCACCTGTTCGTCACCTCTTACGTACAAGGCC